TTTTTTTTTTTTTTTTTTTTTTTTTTTTTTGGTACCAGGGATTGAACTCAGGACCTTGTGCTTGCAAGGCAGGTGGCGGAACCACTGAGCTAAATTCCCAGGCCCCCCCCCCGGCTTTTTTTTGGCCGTACTGGGAATTGAACCCAAGACCAGCACACTGACTTACATCCCAAGCACTTTTATTTCTTTATTTTTTAATTTTTAAAAACTTTTACACAGGGTCTCGTTAAGTTGCTAAATTGCCCCAGACTGGGCTCGAACTTGTGATCCTCCTGCCTCAGTCCCCCAGTGTGCTGGGATCACAAGTGTGCACCACCACACCGGGCTCCGTGTCAGCCCATCCGATGCTGTGACTGCCACCAGCTGGAGGGAGGCATGGCTGGTTCCGCTTGGGATGGAGTCAGATGGAGCCGGAAATACTTTGAGAGACATCCGCACAGCAGTCTCCCTCACCTGGTCTTTTCGTTAGTGTTTTTGTTTGTTTTTGTCCCAGAGGTCAAACTCAAGACCTTGTGCTTGTGAGGCAGGCAGCAGAACCACTGAGCCACACTCATGGGAGTTACATAGGACATGCCAGCCAACCCCTGTCCCCTGGGCTCTGCTTGTCACTTGCTGGTTAAGGGACCCAAAGGCACTGCTTCTCAGGTGGATTCTCTCACAGCATGCTCAGCGCTCTTTCCCCGCCCATGCACCAACGCCTCTGTTGGTCCTAGGCCACATGACCAGGCTCCCCCGTCCAGCCCGCATCCTCATCGTACCTGGAGACCTGCCCTGTGGGGTCTGCTCTCCGGACCGACTCATCTGGCTGTAGCTGTTCTCATTCATGCCATCGTGGGCCAGATGTGCACTGAGGACTCCTAATCACCACGGGGTGGGGAGGGATGGAGAAAAGGAGGAACAGAGTCCCTGGGGCACAGTGCCCGGCATCGTCCGCCTGTCTGCCGAATCCTGAGCGGGAACTGGCTCCGAGGAGGGGGGACAGCTGGCTCCACGTGGCGGGCAAGCGAAATGTCCCTGAGCTTGGAGCCGCATACGGGAGGGGCGTTCCCACTTTTTGTCTCCTTTCTCCTGTCCCTGTTCATTTCAAAGGCAAGATGCGAGGAGCTGTGGGATTGCTTGGGGAGGAATGGGGTGAACTTAGAGCAGCAGCTGGGGTAAGAAGTGCGAGGCTGGGACTGTCCCACGCTGACGCGAGGGTTACTGCGTGGGCCACCTGGTCCTGATGGACAGGGGGCCTCTGGCTGGAGGTGCTTACGTTAAAGCGAACAAAGGCGAGGTGTCATCCCAGCCCTCGGGATTGCTGAGAGTCTGAGGACAGCCCGGGCTACACAGGAGACCCTGTCTCAAAAACAAACAAAACACACAAAGGGAAAGGGCCAGGTGGGGGCCGCGGGGCGGATCGGAATCCCCACGTGGCCCTTACCGGTCTCCCCTCCACAGGAGAGGCCTTCTCCTTTCAATACAGCCCCGGGCAGCTGAGGGGGAACCAGTACAAGAAGATGATGACCCAAGAAGAGCTGGAGGAGGAGCGGAGGTGGGCGCGCTCGCTCTCGGGGACGGTGTGGGCGGGGCTCCCGCAGGCCACGCCCCGGGCGCCTTCCTCTCGGGTTGGGGTGCGCTCAGGTCCTGGGGACCCAGCCATGGTTGGGGTGCGCTCAGGTCCTGGGGACCCAGCCAGGCCCCATCGAGGGAGAAGCTCCCGTGGGGCGCTCGCTGGGAGGAGGTAGCCGGTGATGGGGAAAGGGGGGCCATGGAGCAGTTTCCCGCAGCCCCGTCCAGCCTCCCCCGGTTAAAAAAACAAACAAAAAGCGGGATGCCAGAAGAGCCGGAGCAGAGTGTGCTTGCTGTTCACTCGCGCCTAGAGACCATGACAAAACCAATTCGTCAGCCGGGACAGAGCGGGATCTTGGTGCGGTCCAGCCCGCAGCCGCCCGCCCCTCCTGTCGCTCTCTGATCTGCTCCGCGGACTCGGAGGCATCCAGCTTCTGGATCCAGGCTGCTCGCACCCGCTCCACGCTGCCCCTCCCGAGCCGGGGGTGCTCCTGTCACGCCGCTGTCCCCGTGGCCAAAGCGGGGTCTCCCAGAGCTGTGTCATTTTCCCAGCTCGGCGAAGCGGAGGGCGCCCCCTGCTGGTGAGCGCCGCTGCGGTGTGGCCGGC